GGGGGAGTAGTATTTGGTGTTTCAAAAGCACGTTAAAAAAGGTTTAATTTTTCAGAGAGCATAGGAAGAAAAAGGAGGATTTCAAAGATTAGATTGGAGCAAAAGGGTTAGAAATTTGTGTCCTAAAGTCTCTTTTGGAAATCCTTAATGTTAAAGCTAGCACGTCTCCTGCTTGGCTTATTGAATCCAAGAAAACCGGCATCCTAAGTTAAACTCGTTCTAGTCACTTCGGTTTTTCTTACTTTTAAATCCCGTGTTTATTACCATTGAAATTTCTCATCATTGGTCATCCAAAATGATGACCTACGGTCAAGTCAAATGGCTACATGTTAACTTGGGGATCTTATGCAACGTTTGTATTATGCCGATCTTGCTACTACTCAACATGTAATCCTGACTTTTTTGCCACGTCCTTGGTTTCAACGGCTAACTGGTCATAGACTGACAGGCGATAATGATGATTCAAGACTAGAAACTAGCAAGAGTCAAGATTCATTGATGAAATTGTTCCTCTTAATTGCAGTGTTCTCATCATTAGTGTACTCTTAACCTGATATGGAACCAGCAAACAAAGAAAAGAACCTTGTAATTAAACATCATGATAAGTAGAAGTACGCGGCTTTCAAAGGGTTGGGGCCAAAATAATTTGGACTCCGGACACTGGACAGGTGATTCAGAATAGTGAAACCATTTTTCTTCTGAAATGAGAACTGTACCAATATTTAACCGAAAGAAATATATTGTACCGTGATCCCAATGATGCATGTTATAAAACGAGAGGAGACTGTTGCTTTCCTTTCAACTGCTTTTTTAATTATATCAGTAATCCCTTCACTTGGTGCACACATAAACCAAGCTACAATCAATGTTTATTGTAAAAAGCTAAGACAACAAAAATAAAATTTCCTCGACATTATTAATTTATCTGTTTGATTTATTTACAAGAGAGAGAACCCAGAGCAGGACAGACTATGAACCGGAATTGAAAAACAAGCAAGGGAGAGGAACAACGCCTAGTCGAGGAGCATCTATGGGAGTGACATAATAAAAATTCAAAACATGCTGGACCAACTTTGTGCACAAAATCTAAGCGATCTCCATTTACTCAAAACTCTTGCTTTGCAAATTCCTATGTGGAAGCCCCACCTCTCTTAATTTCTATCAAAGAAAAGAGACCGACAACGGCATTACCAAGGAAACCCAGAGGGGTTGGGTATGACTGCCACAACATGAGAAACACGTCTGGGAGGGGATTGGGCTAGCTAGGTAATTGCCATCGTATTAATAATTAACACGTGACTACACGCATTAATTGAAGGTTCTAACTAGCAAAGTAATAAAGAGCTAAATTACCTATGAGGGAAGGATAATTCAACAGTTTTTGGTAACGTGAAGTGAGTGAAGCATGGCTGCTGATTAGGCATGCATTGAGGGGTAAGTGGAGTTATTAGGACAGTGATTAGGGAATGGTTAAGGTGTTAAAAGGGACTCGGTACTTGCAAAGCCAAAATGAACACATTCCCGTAAAAGGCGCACCGGAAAGCGAGAAAAGACCAAAAGTGCATCCCTTTTTGCGATTGTATGCCCACTGGCCAAGCATAAGAGACAACACTTTAGTTTTCCCCAACACGGACGTTAGCTATTTGGATGATCTTGACATGGATTTTTCGTTTTTTAACCTTTTTTAGGGGGAAAAGACTTTTCGCTCACAAAATGCAATAATACAATAGAAGTTCAAAAGAAATGCCTATTCACCAAAAATCAAATAAAGGGAAAAAAAGGGTATTCAATGCCTGCGTGATAAATGTCAGTTGTGCTGAATAATACTTGTAATATATAGTAATTATAGTAGTATTTGTGCAGCTGAGTGGCCTAAGTCCATTTATTCAGCAAGTATTTCATATAGCACAACAATGATCAGTCTGACTTAATTGAATAACGGTAAAAAAAATTTGTCATATAATAATACTCAGAAAATATTAAATCCCAATTTTTTTTGAGGAGACAACATATATAAAAAGTAATTTAATCGTGATAATTATTTTGAATTTATTAAAAAACATATCTTAACAATTTGTAAATATTAATAAATTTTAATAGTTGTAATTAAGACACTGTTTGAGTGAATGAATTTAAACCCTTCACTAATCCAAGTCCATTATAGTATCATGTTATTTAGAAATTTAGATGGGACATGTCAACTGTGGTGTGCTTGAGCATGTGCTCAGAGGTATAAGAAGAGGTCAGCCATCAATTCCCTCTCAAATGGAATTCTCGTTCCGCGTTGTATTTTTCTTTTATGCAAATGATTACATATTGCTGTGGAGTCCGTAAATATGGTTTGTCTTTCTCTACGTTCTGATCTAGCAAAAGCGGTTAACTTGCAGGCACGGCGTTTTTGACCGTCACGCAGTTTGGGCAAGATCAAGAGTGGGAATTAATTGGTTTTAGATGTTAATGACATTGCTTTTCCCCCCATCAAAGATGTTAATGATATTGCTAATTGCATCATAGTTAAATTAAAAAGGACCGCCCATATTTCCTCTGGTGTCATGCTCCCACTAAAATCGTTTGTTTCTTCTCCAGTTGGGCTAAATGGCTAAGCAGATGCAAGAGTGCAAGATTTCCAGCTGTCATTTCGCCATTGATAGGAATCCTAACGCCAATATTTTTTTGAGGCAGCGTTATATTATTTTTCTACTTATAAAAATAATTATAAATCATCTATCAACAAGATTTCATTATATTAACAATAAAATTTGAAATATATGATTTTATTGATCATGAGTCAAAATCTTAATGAATTAACTTTTATTTTAATAGCGTTATATTTCAAGTACATTAAAAAAGGTTATATTTTCTATGATGTAAATAGTGCAAATTAGGTCTCCACTTTTTCCTTACTCTTCATTTCCCTCATTTTTCCCATGTCATGTTTGATGAATGCTTTTCAATTTCAACATTTCTAGTTTATTTTTTGAAAAAATTATACAAATAAAATATTATAATTCACAATTGTCGATATCAAATTTTAATAGTTTAAATTTTTAAATCAAACATTAAATTAGAATTGTTTAAAATTTTGATCGAACGATGATGAAGGGGAAAAAAGGAAAGAAGGGAGGTAAGTAAGCGGGAACCTTTCCCGTGTAGTGCATGCTATGGCGATATTTCTAAAAACAACCTCCTTAATGACGAACATGACGTCCTTCTAATCCAAATTACATTTGATGATTTTGCATTAGTTTGCTCCCGTTCAGTGTTATATAGTAATACGTTTTCCTGATAGGGAATTTTGTTTTTGTTAATTATGATCGTGTTCTGTTTTCCCCAAGAAAATGTGGTAGAGTCAAAATTTGCTTTGAAATAACAGACCTGTTTGATATCATATTTATAAAACAGTATTTTATTTTAAAACTAGAAAATTAAAAAAATATTTGAAAATACATTTTTATTATCAAGAAAGAAAATAGGAAAAGGACTAATTAAGTTTGTATTCTATGGTAAATAGCTAGTTGTTATATCACTAGATCTGGTTTGCATGGATGTATTTTTATTTTCCATGAAAACGCGTTAGATCAGGGCCTTTTTTTTTGGTTGCCAGTAGCCTTGTAGTATAATGGCATGGAAACTTTTTTTTTTTTTTCAAAAAATAAGTGAGACGACATGAATTCGATTCTACTCAGCTCCCATCCTTTAATTAAGAAAAGGGTTAAAGCTTTTTTTTTTTTTTTTAAAAAAAGTAAGTTTGTATATTTGCATTTAACTCCTCCGAAATCGACGCTGGAAAGTGCAGGGGTGATTTTTTTGTAACACGTGTCACCACGGGACACGCCTCCCCTCTCCTTTTATTTTTTACGCTTTCGTCCCTCCACCCACTCTCCTCTGTTCTATTTGTTCTCCTTTGCCACTAGGGGTGAGCAAAACCGAACCGAAACCGAAAATCGAACCGAATCGAATCGAATTTTGTCTATTTGATTCGGTCTATTTAATTTTTCGGTTCGATTCGGTTTTTTTATTTTAAATATTTCGGTTGATCGGTTCGATTCGGTTAGTAAAATTTAAAATCGAATAGACCGAACCGACCGAATTATATATAATTTATTAATTTATAAATTATATTTAATTTATAAATTATTTTATTTTTATTTTTATTTTTTATTTTAATAAAGAATAAAAAATAATAACATCACTTGAAACCCCATTTCAATCAGTCACTCTCATCAGTAGGTATTATGACTGAATTATGAGGCTATTATTTAATCATCGGTGTTTATTTATGGTTGTTTATTTGATTATTCATGTCTTTATAATATTTGGGCTTTATGTCATATGAGTATAATTAGAATGGGCTCATATTGAAAAAAACGAAAAGAAAAAAAGGCCCAATTTTATAGTGTTGTTTGTTTTAATATTTAAAAATTAGGCCCAAACCGAAAAACCGAATTAACCGACCGAACCGAATTATCAAATTTCGGTTCGGTCCTTGTTCGGTTCGATTGGCTTGTTCGGTTCGATTCGGTTTTCATTTTCAGTGTTATTCGATCGATCGGTTCTGCATATTTTGAGACCGAACCGAACCGAACCGACCGATGCTCACCCCTATTTGCCACCACATTTCACATCTGAATTAATCTCATTTCGATGAACCGGCTCTCTGGATTCAGGCAACAAAATACGACATTCTTTGTCGATTGAACTAGTTAATCATGACTCGTCCCTCATTTGTCACCACTCGCTCAAGTATTCCCAAGCGGTTCCCTCATTTACAACCTCCCAATCTGGTAAAATGATTTCGCTATTCGCTGTCCTAAGCTTTCGCTATTAGAGGATAACCACGCATTTTGCGCACACCTCCTCGTCTCATATCTCATCTCATATATTTAATATAACATATATTAATATTAATATCATAATGGTTCTTTCTCTCTCCCCTACATATAACAAAAGAGTGATTCTCCTGTTTGGTTGCTATGAACTACACGGTCGTATCCTTCTGATTGTCACACATCAATAGGGCCCCCACTCCCTCCCTGTCTCTGCCTTTTACCCTAAAAAGAGGCCTTCTCTTCCTTCATAAGCCCCCCTCTCTCGGCAGCCTTTTCAGCTCTTCTTTGAAACAGAGCACAGCGCTGCCTCTCAAGTAAAACCACAGCTTGCATCCATTCTCTTCTTGTTCTTATTTCCCCAGATTCTCATTTCTTCTTTAATCTGTCCCTCACACATCTCCATCTCTTACCTTTTCCCCCCTCTAAAACATAAAGGAACGCTCAATCCATAACCTCAAAGATTCATTTTTTTGTTTGTTTGTTTGCGGTGCTCGTTCTTTAAAACTGGTTTTTGCCTTCAAGGGCCGAGAGAGGGGTTTGTTGGCCTTGTTTGCAATGGCACCCAGTTTCGATTGTGTCTCGACTCTTCTCTGTGCAGAAGACGACAGCATTTTCGATGATACAGATAATGGAGCTACCATGGAGCCGTTGGAAGTTTCATGTGGATTCCATAGCCGAAACCTGTACTTTCATGATCGAGACGATAGGTTGCCATTGCAGGGTGACGAGTGTTTAGCGCGAATGGTGCAGAAGGAATGCGACCATTTGCCTGCTGGAGATTACTTGGATAGACTGCGAACAGCGGCTTTGGACTTCGGGGCCAGAAAGGAGGCCGTAGATTGGATTGAAAAGGTGGGTTACAGGCTGCATTTCATTTTTTTTTTAGCTCTTAACAATTCTAGAGACTAATCAGTTTCGTAACCGATGAAATTTTGTTTTTGTTGCAGTCAATATGGCCAACTTCTATTTGCTTCATTTTTAAACGGATGTTTCTGAATCTTCGTATTTTCCTTTACGCTATGAAATCTGAACAACGCGGCAAAATGCATTTTGTGCGAATGTAAGCGTTTTGTTAAGATCCCAGTAAACGAACAGTATCGTCGTTGTGTGTTCGATGGTGGGTCCTTTGCTAATTTTCAACTGCTTTGGGGTGAAATCAATGGATTTTCCTTATATTCTAAAGCGGGTCCGATCATCTGGTTTTTAGTGTGTTAGTGCATATCTACTGTTTTTCTTTTCTTTTCTCTTTTTAATGTTAAAATCTGCACAGACATTTCCCTTTTGATCTCATGACCTGTATTGAACCATCATGAGCATTCGGCTGATCACTGGACCAAAGATTCCGAGTTCTTAATGTTTGGTTGGTATTATCCGATTGTCCCATGCTGTTGTCTTCTGCTTGATTAACGGGAATACTCGCTCAACAGGTTCGAGAGCACTTCGGTTTCGGCCCGCTCTGTGCGTATCTATCCATAAACTACCTGGACCGTTTTCTCTCATCATACGAATTACCAGTAAGTGTCCAACAGTGAAAAGATCAACGCTTTGTTCTTTTCAAGGTTGCATTCTCTTCCGGCTTTGATCTAACGGATCCACATGCAGAAGGGAAAAGGCTGGACAATGCAATTGCTGGCCGTGGCATGCCTGTCTCTCGCTGCCAAGATGGAAGAGACCGAAGTTCCCCCGTCTCTCGATCTGCAGGTAGGGAATGGTATTTTTAATGCTCAATATAATGCCAGCCAGTCTATGCGGTGATAAAAGATTCGGCGATTAATGTCGGGTTCGGTACAGGTTGGCGGATCGAAGTATGTGTTTGAAGCCAGAACAATACAAAGAATGGAACTTTTGGTGCTGAGCACGCTGAGGTGGAGAATGTGGGCCATCACTCCATATTCCTTCATAGACTATTTTCTATGGAAGGTGAACGACGATCAGGGCCCGGAAAGAAGTTCCATCACGCGATCCATCCAAATAATATCGAGCACAGTGAGAGGTACGTACGGTTGCTTTTATTGGCAGTAACAACAATTCTGAAGGGAAGTGAGTAACAGAAAAGGATGATCATGGAATGTAGGGGTTGACTTGTTGGAATTCAGGCCTTCGGAAATTGCAGCGGCGGTGGCAATATTTGTCGCGGGGGAAACCCGAAGGGTGAACAGGGAGAAAGCAATTTGCGCGGTGAGTCAACAAGTGAAAAAGGTAAAATAAGTGCGTTTCAGTTGCGGTCAAAGTTTGATAGGGAATAGGGCAACACTGGCCATGTGGGGAGGCAAAATGAAATTGAATAATTGTGTTTGTTTGTTGTGTATGCGTGTGGATCAGGAGAGGGTGGTGGAATGCTTGAAGAAGATAAATGAGATGGCACCAAACAGCGTGCCGCAGAGCCCGATAGGGGTGTGGGAGGCGGCGTGCTTGAGCTATAGTAAAACCGAAGGATCGACGTGGTCACGTGAGGGGGGCGATGGTAAAAGGAGGAAGATAGATAATGACTGTGGGGAAGAGCTTTTGTAGTGAAATATGAAATATGAAATCAAAACACAGAGTGTGTGGGTTTTTTTTTTTTTTTTTTAATGAAGGGAAGGTGCCGTCGCCAAGGAAGGAAGTGAGCTGAAGATGATGGTGGTGACTGGTGACTGGTGACCGGTGAGGGAAAGGGTTAGATTTGGAGACCGCCCGTTTCTGGCGCTTCGCTGTTAAATAATTTTACAGCCCTTAACAGCTTCAGACCAGAGATCCGAAAGCGCGGGGGTAATACGGCACGGCACGGCACGGCAATGCCGTTTTGTTTTCAGTACAGTTTGTGTTTGTATTTATTATTTCCATTTTTTATATATATTTACTCAACTTTCTTTTAATGAAATTCAAAAAAAAAAGAAAAAAGGAGGCCTGAGGCTCTGGTATGAGATAGATTCGCGCGTAATAATCATGTTTTTTTGTCCTACACCATTTTTTTTCCTCCTTTTTTAATTTTTTTTTTTGCAGGAGCTTGTTGTTTATTTAACATCCCATTTTTCAAAATAAAAGTTTAATAAAAAATGTTGAAGTCGTCGAACAGGTCCGGACTTTCATAGCCCATGGTTTGGGAGATCAAATAGAATATGAGAAATCCACTTAAAAGTTTTATTGGAGTGTGGCCTGAAGTTATTTATCCAGGTATTGACATTTATATACGGTGATTTTGCTTCTTTTCAAATTGGTAAACCATAAAATACTGATATTTTTTTAAGACCAATCATAAAACAAATCAAAACCCAAGCTTTCGGCTGGAAAATAGACGAGCCGTCTTACTCGATACAAGACTGTGACAATTGACATGAAGAGTAGAAGGAAATTATATACTCCACTCAAGCTAGAGGGGAAAAACTTATATATAGAAGGGCAAGTCCTGGAGCAGATACTCCATTCCGTCTTTAATCATTGAATGCAGGACTTAGTTGGAGAATTTATTTTAGTATTAAATATAATACATCAATCATTCTTGTCTTTCATATAAATTATGTTGAAAATATTCTAATTTAAATTTAAATTATTAGAAAGGTATGGTATTTTAAGAAAATAATCATACATCTTTTATAAAAAAAACTAGCTTATTTATTTTTTAAAAAAATTTGTGTGAATTAGTTAATCAGTTTCTAGACTGGAGGGAGTAATTTGCTTACCATAAACAAACAAAGACTAGTATATCTTTTTCCTTAACGTTTTAGCGTATGCCCATTTTTTTACTGAACTTTCAAATCATTTGCTGAGCACTATCTAGGAGTTTTTATGCTGAGAAACCAGCGCATTTCTTTACCACGAAACAACACGAATCACAACAAAAAACATAGAACTCTAAACTTAGACATCAATGTATAATCACCCATACACTTGATCTCGATTTATAAAATATTTTCAGAAATATTTGAGATCTCAAAATAAGATTAAGGTACAAATCTACTTTTAATATTTTCAAATTCGCACCCTATATTTTAAACTATTTTTTAACATAATTTCATCCTAATATTTTTTATATATGTGCAATCTCGCCCTTTCATTAAGGTTTGATTACGTTGACGGTTAAGTTAGGAATTTTGATCATGAACTATCCAGATGGCTTGCCACATTAGCCTCCAGCCTCCACGTGTAGTTACACATCACTCCTCTACCTCTTCCACTTCCCTCTACCAAACCAAGATCTTGCTCATAATCCAGATCCAGATCCGTTCACAAATCCTCCCCTCCTCCTCCTCCTCTTACTCCTCCTCCTCATCTCATGTTGCCGCTGGTATGAGCAAGCACAGAGTCCGTTTGAGAAGGTGGAAGATCTTGCTCATAATCCAAATCCAGATCCGTTCACAAATCCTCACCTCCTCCTCCTCCTCTTACTCCTCCTCCTCATGCTGCCGCTGGTATGAGCTTGCACAGCGTCCGTTCGAGAAGGTGGAAGATTTTTGTTCAAGGAGGCTAGACTTAGACCTCGTGGAGATGCTGACCTTTAGTTCACGACCTCATCAAAATCAAAGGGTGGGAATGGCTCTTCCGTTCAAGGAGGTCAGGTTCTGGCGAGGGAATCGAAGGATCCATATGGCAATTTCAAGAGATCGGTCAATGGAGGAGATGGTGTTAGGGGTTCAAGAAGAGTAATGATGCCAACTATGGAATCGATTGCTACCTCATCCAAGATCATTCTTTGCCTCGATTATTCTAGGCAAAATGTGGGTTAAAATTTTTTTACTTTGATTTGTTTATTTTGCCATGAAATGGAACGAAGATGAGGGACAAAGATTGCTGGACCTGGGTTGTTTATTTTACTTCGATTGTTTTGCGAGCCAAGTCCCCTACTTCCTTAAGTTGCAGGCCTAACGTGTTCAGGTGACCTAAAAGGGAAGAGATTAGCAAAGAGAGAAGCGAGTGCCTCCCAAATCATGGGTCTGATTCAAGACCACAAGAGGGAGATTGACGGATTCGATGTCTTCTGCTTCTAACTCAACATTGCTTCCATCGAAGATTTTCTGGTGATTAGAAAATATTTTTCAATGATGAGAGCACGATGGGTTCATCATTCCAGAGCACTGTTCTATACACATCTAGTTTCTATTTTTTTTTAATTTTTCCCATCTAGAAATTGAATTAAATTCCTTATCCACCGCTCTCATCCTTGTTTTGGGATTTATTGATTTTTGTTTAATGATTCTGACTAAAATATGATTCATCGTTCTATTTAAACTCCCTCCTATTGTACATATCATCATCCTATATCTACGATCTGGGTTATGAGAAGAAGCTTTGACGAAAAACCAGAGTCCTACAACGATCTGGGTAGTTGATTATATGATTTGAGTTTTTGATTGCTTCTGCCCATACCTCGTAGTTGTAATCGCTATTGTTTTGGTCACCGACGTCCAGCAAGATACAAAGGGAAGTGAAGGCATGAAGCATCGTATTGTGCGTGATGCATGGAAACGGAAGGGTGAAGAACAGATGGAATCGAGGATCTGATGTGTATCTAGATATTTTATTTTTAATTTAAAAATATGCCAAGGTGGCGACATTATACCTAAATAAAAAATATTAAAGTGAAATTGTGCTAAAAAGTAATTTAAGATATAAAGTGTGTTTGGTTGAAAACATTGAAGACAGATTCATACCTTAACCTTTCAAAATATAATACATTTTAATAACAGTAAAATTTTTTTAATGATTTTTTTAATATATTACTCTTATTATTATATTCTCCCTCTCCCTTCATAAATGAAACATAAAATGAAAAGTATTTTTTAAGGTTTATATTTTTATTTTAAAAAAATAAAATTACAAAATATATTTAACAAATTTTATTAATATGGATAGTTTTATTTAAAAGTATCTCAACACAAAGGGGGGGAGGGGGGAATCCTGTTTAATATCATGAACCAGTAAAAACCGAAAAAGTAAACCTTCCATCAATTCCTCAATAACTTCAGAGAGTGAAACTAGCCAGTGGGACCAAAGTTTGCTTTTGAGGCTTCTGATGTTCAACGTAATTCGTAGTTTAGCATGGCACTGAAATTGAAATTTAAAAGAAAAAAGAAAAAAAGAGGAAAAGTAGCGAGCATACTGTACGGAACTTGGTTGGGGGACACTTAGCTTTTTTTTTTTAACCTTTAATTAACGGGTTTTTTTGGGGATAATTTAGCAGGGTTTTTTCCCTCAGAAAAAAAAAAACAAATTACACACACTTAACTTAGCGGGGTTGGCGTAAAGAATGAAAGCAAAAGGGGGTATAGGACGTGAAAAATGGGATGTGATGTAGTCATGGAGGGTATGCTCCCACTGGGCACAGTGAAATAGAAATTGTGTGAGAATGCGTCGTGGTTTGATTTCGATACGTGGCCCATTCTGTTACGTTACTTACATGATTGAAGAGCCACAATTTGAAGTGCGGCACCACGTTCGACCGAATACTCACGTCGGCCCAAATCACTTGTCTCTATCAACCTGCGTGGGCTTTATGTCAATGAAAGGTAGGTTCCGCACTTCGTAACAAGCAATCACGTTACGGTCTATATATGTATATGTAAATGTCACGAAGCTGGTTTTTCGACACACATGACATTTAGACCTTCTTTAGTAGGTATTAGATAAGCTTGTCTTGTTGTGAAGGAATATGCTTGACAAAATTGAGGGATGAAAATGTGAGAGCAAATAATGCAAGTTTTTAGAATGTGAAATTTGTATTATTTGAAAAACCTAAGATAGTTATAAATAAAGAGGGTTAAAATATTTATAGATCTATCCGTACATTTAGGATGTTTTTATCTTTTTAATAAATGGTGAAAATTGATTCGATTTTGCATTTATTAACTTATTATTATTTTTTTAAAATTTTCCATAAGACATTTTACGATAAATATTTAAATATTTACACAGTTTTTTAAAATCTTTCTAATATATTTATATTAGAATTGTCTAGATTTGTTTTAGAGCAGTCTTGCACAGTCTAATCTTTTGTAGGTTATTCCAGTGCCTTTAGGAGGATCCTAATACATTTCCTATCTTCCTAGCCTCTTGAAAATCACAGAACGTGACATAAAGCTCTTCATTTTGTTCCCCTTACATATATATATAGCTCTACATTAGCAGAAAGAAATTGAGTTAAAGTTGACATGGTAAAGGTGTCTTCATATTAGCGGATCACCGCTAAGAAAGTTGCTCATTCATGGTTTTCAGTTTTCAATATCAAGTCGAAGTTGAAAATTTGCCTTGCTCCATGTTTTGCCCCTATCATCCTGCCCCTCTCTGAAAAGTGTGGCAACAAAAGCATGCGGACAGCGAGGTATTTGCATGGGAGGTCCGTACACGGAGGTAGGGAAAAAGAGAGAAACTGCAGCGGAAGAGCAAGAGTGAGGGATAGGAAGGCGTGCTCGGCCCCTTTTCCTTCCCTCTGCTTCTGCAACAAACCCCTCTCTGCCTCTGTCTCTCTATTCTCCCTTTCTGATTTCGCGTGTCTCCCTTTTTCCTAAAGCTCCTCCACGTTATTCTATTTCCATGTACGGACATTTGTTTTTGTAGTTATTTCACCAATTTAGCCTTATCCTCCCTTCATCTTTCCTCATATCTTTGTCACTTGAATGTTTCCAGTTCACGTAGTCTCAATGTTTTATTGACGTTAAATATTTAAATACATGCAACTTTCATTGATGCTGCTAGTTTTTATTTATTTTTTATCAACTCGAAAAGTCCAACTTGTACGTCTGACGCCATTTCTTCTTCCAGATCTGCTGCTTCGATTGAGTTTGTTTAAGCAATGGATTCCATTTTGGAATCTGTCGATGATACTCATTCTATCTGTACCGGACGCCTGCTCATTCAATGCAAATCCGCGTGCTCTGTTTCATAAAATCCCGACTGTCTTTTTATGACCCATCCGTGAACCTGATCTGATACATTAAAACCCTGTACCTTTCTTTTACAAGCTTTTTCAATGCGTATCCTACGCTTATACGATCCTCATCTCGCCTCGCCAGTTACGAGCTACGACTGCCGACGACACGTCGTTTTCTTTATTTAATTCCCACTAGCATATTCTTAAAGGAAACCGCGAGAATAGAATGAAATGTTTTCGATGAAATATGAATTTATTGTCCTCCCATCTTAAATCAACCCTACTCACGTAGCGAGATGCTACTTTGTCAGGCATTTGGATGATCAAACAAAATTATACAGTGACATTTTTTGAAAAGCGTTATGTTTCAATACTACAGCGTTCTGTGAATTTTAAGCTTCATTAATATGGTAGATCTCATATACATTACATAAGAATAAAGTAAAAAAAAAAAAATTAAAATTTCAACTGTCTGACTATTAATGTGCAGTATTGGATGAAAGTGTCTTGTATGGCAAAAAGAGCAGCACATCATGGGAACATGGTTTGGGATGTCAAATTTTCAAAGTAAAGAGATAGTAAAGGCATTCACGGAGCGTGACGGTGATACGTACTATCAGAGACTATAAATGACAAAAACCGTAGACTTTGACGCGTACGTAGGGGATGCTTTTCCATTATTCTCCACGCGCACTCAAGTTGCGCATCCATCCCTGCCACGGCAATTCGACAAGCGCTTGGCGACAAAAATCACGCTTCCTACATTAAACACGCTTCCTTCTCTTTCCTTTCCAGAATCAACGTCTTCATCGTTCCAGTTACTCCATATTTATTAACCCCACCTCCAAGTATACTACTACAGCGGAACGGAACGGAGGCCTTCACCTACTCTTTGGGTAGACCACAAAAATAATTAAAGTAAAAAAACCATAATTATGGCATGCCCGTTGCTTGCATCCTGTTCTTTAAAGTGTAACATATTAATGAGTGGATGAGTAGAGTACAAGCTGCGGACGCAGGATTTTTAAATATATCTAGCGGAACTGGTGATTCCGATATTATTGCTGTGAAATGAGCGCACGGTGAGACTCATTAGAACTGGTTGGTCATCAATTAGTAGTCCCAGAACGCATATAATGTGCCGTCCACTACATTTATTTGGGCTGGCATTCATATCATAATAACCCTTTTACATAGTTGACGACTCACGCACTTTTTCGTTCTCTAGCTAAGATATCGCACGTGCCTTTTGGAACTAGCTAGTGACTAACTCTGGTAAAGTACGAGAATGTCCTTAATTCTTGTACACGCACCATTTACAATCAGGAGAAAGGAGGGTGAGCAGAGGAAGTTACAATCATAAATGTATTAAGCAATGCGATCCAACAAGTCTTGGAGTGACAGTAATCCGACACGCCCAATATCTTGCGTACGCAACTCTCCCAGCTACCAGGGCATATACGTGAACGCGATTGCTCATGGCGGGGGAGATTTGAAGCTACGCGTATCTTTTAACATCAAATGTATTATCATGTGCGAAAGGCTCCCGGTCTTGCTTGCTCTCTACGTGTACAGACACGCACGACTTTTTTCTGTCCATAATTTATGTCCAGGTGCGCCGATGTGCTGGTCTTCAATTCTATAAGAAGAGATACGTATACATACCTTGAAACCAATATAATGGAAGAATTCAGAGACAACATCAAATATGAAAGCATCGTGAAAATAACAAGCAAGCATGCGCAGGACGGTGTTTGATGATGAACATCCTTGAATCCGGCCGTATTAACCAGGTAGCTCGAGCACACACGTTTCCATTAAAGAAAAAGCGGTAAATATAAATGTCTATTATTTATTTAAAAAGAGTTTGGGGGGTGGAATGTAAGTGTAAGGCGGTGGGTGAAAATGAGAAGAAGACATGCATGGGGGAGGGATGGGTAGAAATTAAATTAATTGTGGGACAACATTAGGTATAGAAGTTGGGGTTGGGAGCTAATTTAAAGTAATTGGGAAAAGAAGGGGCCAGGGCGGTTATATATGGAAATAGTGGGTGCGGTGGATGTTGTATAGCTTTCCAAGCGTGGGATGTGAATGTTGGAGGATCCATTGCCTCACATGTCCCACCTAAACCATCATTTGCTTCTTAATGGCCCCCTCACCACCTCCCCTGATCACCCGTCATCATCCCTAATCACTTTCTCATTTCCACGTGTCACGTGACGGTGCATTGAATAGGGGTTTGGTCACGCTACTTATGCATATGATAGGAGGAATTGGGGGGCCCCCACTCGAGGTTTAATTTGTTCGCAGGTGCCATCATCATCCATCATGGGAGGCTTATGCTCATGCTTCTCATTAACACTAAACATTCCTTAGTGGCAGAAGACATGGAAACCCATGTTTATACTCCATGCCCCTCCATTGCCATTACCATATCCCTCCCTCCCTCCCTCCCTCTCTCTCCATGCAATGGCTTGAAAATTCCTACTCGCTTCCCCTTTCAGCACCCTTTGATTTTCTTATGCCCCATGTATGGGATCTCGTGTGCGATTGTTTTATTAGTATTCAAAATTGTGCATGTTACTGCGGTAGTTGTGAAATGAGCGGACACTTCTGTGAAAATGGTTTTACACAGCCAAAATGCAAAATAGCCGTGACAAATACTTTTCATAACTTCGATGAATTAGATATTCTCGTGAGTGGTCGATCTCTTGGAGATAACTTTACGAGTAATTAAAACTAGCTAGCATCGTATAATTATGCACAGACGAGTAACCAAGTAGCCATGTCCAAAGATTAGAGATTAAAAATGAAGTTATCACTTGAAGCGAAAGCCACAAGTTATTTTCTTGCTCTTGGAACCGCGGGCAACTTATTTCAAGCCGATTTATATATCTTCTTGAATGTTTCCACAGGGATTAGTTTAGCATTTTCTCAGCGAGAAAATAAATCACGGGAAGTAATGCACTGCTCATTTTTCTCCGTATTAAATAGACAACATGCCGACCTCATTTGTCGCATCTGTTTAGACTCGGAACCTCGAGTGACGCATGCATGGTTGTCAATGGAGCATGCAAACGACTAGTAAAATGCACTTCCTTGTTGAGCATAAAAAATAAATTACTTCCTTGAAAGTATGCTGGCACCGCATTCAAATTTTAGACCAGACTGATGGGGGAAAAAAAACGGAGGACACGGTGAGCAAGAGAGAGGTTGGACTTGGAAATAATGTAAATAACAATAATATAATAGAAATAAATAAAGGAAAAGGTGCTGAGATCACAACAATGATGCATAAAATATGCTCTGGTGGCTCGCACAGAATGATATCGCTTTTCTTGCTCTCGGTGGGTGGTGACCGAAGAAGCTTCAGCCGAAGCCATCCACGGTAATTTGTTAATGTTATTCATTGGGTGGTCCACGGTCACGGAGCTCATATGTAATACCCTGTCAACTCACATTAATTCAGTTTAGTACTAAACAAATCACAGGCCTGGCAAATAAAGTGACCATGATGATAAAATAACTCGCAGACGTGCAAGCGAATTCAATTCCCCCCTTCCCCCTTTCTGGTTATGGATCAACTTGTTCATGTCGGAGCAGGTTTTTTAATGGGTGGGTAGAGCTTAAAGGGAACGGCTGCTTTAATTTCCATCTGGACGGGCATGTTGGTGTGGTTGTTTTAGTGCCACCAAAAGGTTCGACCCCACCGAGGGTGAAAAGGAAGGAGCTGATTGGACTCGTTTATTGTTCCCTCCACTCCAAACAAGATGGCACGACGTTATGCTCATATATTATTCTCTCAATTTAATAAGCACCTAGAGGGAACCCTAAGGCTATGGATTCTTCTTATCTGTCTGTAAGATCCTGTTCAGGTGACAAAATCACGTCCCATGCTCCCATTTTGTATTTTCTTATTGATAGCACCATCTATGATATATCCTTCCCGAGCGAGGGGATCTCTAACTTGATTGATTTAGTTTCCTCGGGCAGGCTTTCTTCAGGCCTGCTCTTGAAGGGCGGTATCGGGGCTGTGATGATGAACGAAGTCGGGTGAAAATTATGGGACCCATAATGGGCATGGAACGAGGCAGTTGGATGTGCCTGGTGAATGAAAGACATGTAGAGTAAAATGAACCATGGTTGAGGTATTGTTAATTGGCGGGGGGATTAGTGGGAGGTTAATGATGGAGTGAAATAATTGGAGGGTGGAAAGGGCCGGGCATGGATGACTAATTGGATGGCTCATCACACTCACGTATCACATCGATTAAAAGTAGAGATGTACTAGTGGCAATTCAACTTTACTTTTCTTCTCACTACCAAAGCTGAGCCTGGGCTATCCATCTAGGCTGCTCCTCCACCACCACGATGTGCCCCTGAGTGGGTCCCTCCCCCAAACTTGAATCTGAACTATCCAAGCCTCAGTGCTATCATAACATCGGATACCTACCATCCCCTGCTTTTCCATGATCTGCATTTACATTTGCTGGTGGAGCGACCAAACAAACCATACGTAAATCGCGATTCCTTGCTTTAATACTTTTGTGTTAGCAGCGCCACGCCCAGCCAGCCTTGTTTATAATTTTATAACAAGGACAGATGGTTGAACGGTGTGAGTGTATGACATAATTTGGGTGACTTCAATTTAGGCCCACCACTCGGCCGGGTTGGGGAAAATTCAATATGAAGAAGCAGGGTACGGCAGAGAGATTAACCACAGGGTACGGTTTGGTTCGAACCCGAGGACCTTGTCAACAGCGCTTTTTTTTTTTTTTTGGGTTTGGGGGGGGAATAAATGGAGGCCAAAAAGGTTGAGAAGGTGATGATAGAAGCACCCACGGGGCCACGCTCGTCTGAGGCCTCTGCTCTCTCACGCATCATTGCACACTTATACCTTGCGTGCACTCCTCACCCCTCACGCACGCATCAACGAGCATCCCTTTATTTTTCTGCCTTTTATTTTTTGCCTTTTTCTTAAATGCAATGCTATGGAATGATACTGAAGGGACATGTGTGTCCGTTCATCCCTATATAATTCATCCCCCATCCTGCCTTTTGGGCTAGAGTCTCCGCTTTGACTGTACCCGTTCACGCTTGCTCTGTTCACTCTCGCTTTCACCCCCCTCCTCTTTCTCTCTTCCCGCGCCTGCCCTCTCGGTCGCCTTCTGGTTTTCACATACAATTTCCACCTCTTTTCCTTTTTGTAAGTTTTCTGCTCGTTTGCTGGTTGCTTTAATGCCTCTTCATGGTTGGTAATCTCTGTTCTTCTTTTATTTTCGCTTCTGGTCACGAGTCTTTGCATATTCGATCGGTGAGACTCTTTATTTTGGGGATTTCTATTTTTGGGCTGGGAGCTTCATAATTCACACGGGTATAAAGCGAAATTGGTTTCCTTTTGCACTTTCCTCTTTCCCTCTCTTTGCTGGTTTTTGCTTCTAGATTTTCAGCGCGTTGTTTTATAGTTCTCTTTCTTGCATCATTTCAAGGGAAATTGCATAATATTTTCTTGAAACCGGATGTTTAATTGCTTTTTTCCTTCCATTTTAAGTATCGGCCATCGAATCCTGAATGAATCCATGGAGGAAAAGTTTTGCTTTACTAATATGTTGTAGGACTAGAAAAATTCTTCTTTCATGCGTCGATTATATCTTGAACTGTAACAAATGTCTTTTAACTATGTATTTTTGCATCTTCTGAGAAGATCTTTGGTGTTGTTGCAGGATAATACGTTGTAGGACCGAATGGCATAGTGGGAGCTGCCTTTTTGGGGTGAAGGATAGAACAGCATGTGGTGGTTGCTTACCCTATCTGTTGATGTATTCCGCAAAGTTATTTCCTTAAACCTGTACTGCAAAGTCATTCTATAATTTGCGTCTTCTGAACGAAACATTCGAATTAACGGTCTTGTTTTACCTTCTCTTATTTCCATGGGATCCAATTTCCTAGTTGTTGTTCCTTGTTATGTCCGTCAGATCAGCTGAAGGATATTGATCTCAACTTTGATCATCTCCGTCTACTTTTGCTTCCATCTATTATCTATTCAGTTATAGTTTTGTTCTCCGGCCGTTGTTTAGTTCATCAATTTGTCTAACAGCACAGTAGTCTCATTGACAACTTGTGTTCAGTATTCTCCAATTCTTCAAACCTGCTTCATCGTCCTTGGAAAGTTGGTGTTTCTTTTTTCTTTCAAGGGTTGGAAAGTAGTTATGGTGTGCCAAGCGGCGAGTCAAACGAGATTTCGGGCATTGAAACATGAAAATGGAACAGCTGGGTGCTCAACCATTATAGTTAGGGTTATAGCATGCTTTCAACCTCTCCGAGATTGCCAGGTACGTGACTACTTAAGGCTTTAGAAGCCTGGGAAATGTTTCATACTTATTTTCCTAGTTGTATTATTTCGTCTACCAAGAAAATTATCGATATGTTATGTTTATTTTTTTCTTGATGGGTATTTTTCAGGCTGAATATTTCCGTCATTTGCTCAAGCCTGTCACGTAGAGTAGTTTCGCCTTTCTGTAGTTGGGTTAAGCTGGTGCTTTTAGTTAGTATACTTGTTCGCCAAAGGAAAAGATAGTAACGGATAGCTTTTGTCTGAAGTTTTTTTTCTCAGGTATAATCTAGTTTTTTCATTCATTGATATTTGCTTTTTACTACTTATATCTTAATTTGTTTTGTTTTGATTCATTTTTTGATCATGTGCTAACTGCCTTTAAAATCTTTGTAAGGTTATTGTTCTAGTTGAATGGGAGAAGATTGTGGAACCTGGGTGCCACAGCGGCGTTTGGATTGGCAAACACCCAATCTAAGCTCCTTTAGGGCTCCGTGTGAGGGAAAGCAGACCGGTGTTTCTGCACCTGGCATTGATAATATGATCACGTCTAATGAGGCAATGCCAGCTTATGCATCCTCTGTGTTGCCTCATTTACAATTAGGACATTCTAATGAACCTTCTCTTGGTTGGTTTTACTGTTTGCCTCAGTTTGGACAGTCCTTCATGCCTGCGGCCAACCTCTCTGTTAAGGGAAATCTCCTTGCTGGCCAAGTCAAAGGGTTTGGAGGGGAAACTGTCCCCAATCGGGAAACCCAAAAACAATTCCTTGTTATTGATCAGACGGGTTATCAGACGACTTTCATTTATAGTCCTCGGCTAGGCTCTTGGCCTTCCAAATGGTATGGTCCTAAGAATTTGAATGTGAACGAGCCTTCTTTTAAAACAGATGCAAACGATCTTATTGGATCAAGTTTCCCAGCCGAAGTTGATGAAAATCAGGAAAGGGACATGGAAAGTGAGATGCATGAAGATACGGAAGAAATTAATGCATTGCTTTACTCGGACAGTGATGATTACTCTACTGAGGACGACGAAGAAGTTACTAGCACAGGGCATTCTCCAAGCACGTTGACCACTCATGATGATAGCCGAGAAATCTTTAGAGCAGCCACTGAAGAAGTTGGGACGTCCTCTGGAAAATCAAAGAAGAGGAAGCTGTCAGACTCTGCTTATGACGACACTGCCACTTCTCTGAATCTGAAGAGACCCAATGAGTATGAGAGTGGAGGTGATGCAGAATCGAGATGTTCTGGTGGAAAGAGCCAGGGGTCTGGTGAAATGGGTTCCTTGTCAGGCAATAAGAAGATGAGAAGGGAGAAGATACGAGAAGTTCTGAGCGTTCTGCAGAGCATAATTCCTGGCGGGAAGGACAAGGACCCAATTGTGCTTCTCGATGAAGCCATATGTTGCTTGAAGTCCTTGAAACTCAAGGCTAGAACTCTCGGACTTGATGCCTTGTTGAGTTCTTAGTCAGTTTCGTCACTACGTGTGCAGAATAAAGAAGGTAAGGGTTGGGCTTTGTTTGGTGTTCAGAGGGGTCGGGGGCTCATTGTTGGTGGTATTTCCGTTGTATTAAAGATTATTTTAGCAAATATGGTGGGGGGATGAGAGACTGAACTCGACTTAGGAATCCTGTCTCGATTATTGAGTCAGAAATGGGCTTGGAGAAAGGTGATATGAATCATAAGGTCCGCGTTGTTTGGTTTCGGAGAAAGTGAAGTGTCGGACTCAAAGCAGGGCTTGGGATGGGAGGTGTTTTGAATGAGGAGTGGTTGATCCAGAAAAGGACCCCGAGAATGAGAGGGCACGCCTCTCGGCTGATATGGGACCCAATCTCTCTGGCCTCCACTTTTTGCAATCCTGTCATTGTTAGTGGGTTTGCTTTCATCCTGATGGAACTCGTCGTCGGAGAACACTGATATTTGTGTTGGCTCCCAGCGATGTTAAGAACTAGTGTGGCGTGCTATGTATAAGGTATTGAAATTGAAATTGGATGTATGGTTGTCGAAGATGATGTATATGTAGGTTGGATGTAATTTAATATGGTTGTTGGTAACTGTAGCGTGTTTATGACGAGACGACTGTGGAGTCGCATGCTCGCATTTAATTTAGGTGATCGTGAGGAAAGGATGTGTGCATGTTGAGCAGTTGTATTATTGGAATGATTCCTGGTTTGATGAAAAGTTGTTTCTCCGGTGCTGCCTACGAGGGGACCACGCCATTGAATTATTGGGCAGGCAGGGACAGGAAGGTGGAAGCATTCACATTTTGTGAGAGGCACGGGCGTGGTTGCGGGCAGAAAGAAATCATGGCCGCCATCCACCATCTAACAATCCCAAGGGTCTTTTACGGCCTTCATCCTCCACTGTTTGACTCCAATTTATCTTCTGCATTTCCTTCCTAACAGTCATGGAATCTAGCCCAGCCAAAAACAAAACAACACGTGGACAATGCACTCAACAATTTAATCAGCAAATGCCCACTGACGAGGATTGTCTGCGAATACGATTAAACCACGATCAATTTTATTATCACTGGTCTCTTTGCAAGTTATTTAAACCACAACTAAATTCATGAATGAAACAAGAGCTTCTACTTTCGCCCCTTGATATTTGAATTTTTTTTGTATACAATATATTTAATCTTTTCTGCAATAATTTCTGTTACTCTGCTTGGTAGTGTAGTTTTCTTTGAGAAAACAGTCCAAAACCTCCATTCTCTAAGCCCACAATTCACGATCATTGACTCATTGTTCAAGCTCAGGCTCAGGGAAATGAAAACTTTTGTCTTTTTAATTAATTGTTCGGACTGTACTTTTAATTTGATTGCAATTTAATTTTTTAATTTTTATTTATTGTATCTTCATGATTATAATTTTTACTTGATAAAAAATTAATTTTTAAATTTTAATTTAATATAATTCATTTTTATTTAATCATTTAAAATATATGTGCCCTTTTATTCTAAAAAATGAAATAATAAAAATTAAAGTTATTTTTTAAAAACTTACGGACTAGTATTTAAAATTATAAAAGTTACAAAAAATAAATTGCAATAGTTAAAGTTTAAGAATTACATTGTAATTGAGTCAAAAATTATATGAACTAAATTGCTCAAAAAAATTGCACCAAATTAAAGTTAAAGGAATTGATTTATTTTTTAGAGGTTTGGAATTGAATTTTTATTTAATTTATAAGGGTAAATTATTTTTTATAGAAGGGTAAATTGAAATTATTTTAATTGAACGAGGGAATTCAAATATCAAAATTTAAAAACTTGTACTTAAATAGGTGAAATTTTATCATTTCATTATCTCTGTTGGTAAGACCAAAAAAAAAAAAAAGAACTTCATTATCTTTCTTTGAATTTTTATGGGCCAGCTTTTACTTCTCTTGTTATAATCAATGTTCAGAAAGAAAAATATAAAAATCATTTTATTTTTAAAGAAGTAGTTGGGGAATCCTAACCATTCTATATGCAAACATTTAATTAAAAGAGGCCAGTTCATTGTTCTCTGTACTTCAGAGAGATTTTCTTAGTTGTTAGTAAAGTCTATCCCTTCACATTTATCACAAAAAATTATTTTATTTTATTTTGTTATTGGGCAATTAGTACTTCATCAAGAATAAAAAGGAGAAAAAGCCTATAACATGTTAAAAAATAGTACTTCTTTGATAATGTTCTGGCCTCAGCGCAAAAGGCAGAAAAAGATAGAGAGGCGCCGTGTGGCTTCTTAAATGGAAGAGTATGAATTGTCAATTTCTCTTTCTATTAAAAATTATTATTTTTGTGTGTGGAAAGATTATAAATTATTTTAAATTAAATTTTATTTTTAAAATAATATTTAACATAGTTAAAAATGAAAAAAAAATTTATATATTTAGTTTTATACATCCATGTGATTGTTTTTATTTAAAATAAGACATATGGATCTTGTTATATTATTTATTTAATAACAAAATTTTGTTATTAATAATATTATCAGAAAATTAAAATCTATTTATTTTGATTTGATTGGATAAAAATATATTGAATATACAAGATTAAGTATCTAAGCCTTATTAATTCAAAATTATCGATCTATTTTTTTCAACTTTCATACCTATGATATTTAATAAGATAAATTAATCATGAATAAATATAAAAATATCAACTTTCATAATAGTTTAAAATACTTGTTAAGCGAATTTTTTTAAAAAATATTTTTAATTAATTTTAAACACCATAATACTTTATATTTTTCAAAGTAAATGGTTAATGAGCATCATACCTTCTAAACTATTATGTAAATAACATCTAGACAATAAACTTTTACTATGCAAAATCTCCTATCAACTTTTAAATTACTAGGACTTGACCTCCCATTGTTAAATATTGGATTATTTGCCGTTATGCGTGATAGAAAGTAGATGATTTAACTAAAGTTTGTTAACAAGGTTGGCATGCAAGGAAATTTTAGGCCAAAAAGTATAATCATCATCGTGCCTTAAAAATGGTGCTAAATTTGGCACTTAACTCATTGATATGTTTATCCCAAAAGTCAAAATCCTATCACATCTTTGTCGATGCCATTTGATAGAAGAGTATAGGATGCAAATTTAATCAAACAACACGAGACGTGAGGATTTTTAGCGGGACACAAGTCTTTACTTGATCTGTTTGTCTTGAAAGATGAAACCCTATCCCGTCTTAAACAATTTTCTACAATCTTGTTAAAGATTTATTTAAAATGGTACGACTCTGTTTATCAAGTATCATTGCTTCATGGATTTTGCATTTATAAAATGAGGAGAAGCTAAATTGGATGGGAAGAAAAGAAAGTACTTGAAGTTCAAAGAGCTCCTCCAAATACTTAGACAGATTGCTGTCAGGCCTTGTGGACAAACCTAGACCCAACTTCACAAGAGTCGGTCCTAATAACGTTGTGAACATGTTCTTCAGCTCAGCAGCACAACCCTTTTATTCCACTCCATTTCTCTTGTCTAAAAGAAGTTGCAACACAAACGAACCTAATGCAGCCAAAATTTGCATAGCCCTTCACACAACTTGGTAGAAACACAAAATGGTGAAGTCAACTCATAAACCCACTGCGTCAATACTCAATAATACCAAATCGTTCCCATAAATTTTGCAATGAAACGGGAGACCTTGACTGGGTTCAACCCATACTTGGCAGCAAGAAATGGAGGCCTACTGACAGCAACATCATTGGCAACACAAGCCATGGCTCTAGCATCGACCTTAACTTCGCCAGCACCAGCTCCTCCTTCCGGCTCCGCAACCTGTACGAGTGTAGCTTGGAGTAGTAGTAGAGAAGATGAGTGACGTCAGATAGATGCATCAAGTAAATAAGAGGAAGAGGAAATGCAGAGATTATCTAATGGCAATTGAGGAAGAGGGGAAAGTTGATATATAGTTTCCAACCCATCAAAAGGTCAAAAGAGATGAGGAAGATCGAGTGCCACATGCGTGTTTAAATGGTCTCACCCTCTAAAAACTAAAGTCCGTTTTCTCTTACACAACAGCAAAGGTAAGATGTTAGGATTTTAAAAGTTGAGAAAATATTTTTCACACTACAAAAATTTGGGATCTAAAATGTTATTGAATTAATAGTTTATGAGGTAAGATGCTCATTTACCCTAAAACAAAATGCATTCACATCTTTATTTTTTTAATCACGTAATCGTCCTTTCCTATTTTTAAAAACTTGCATAGACTTCCTCTAAAACTAAAAATTATGTTTCATGCACAAACCACATTTTATTCACCCAACTGTTAAATCATATTATTAAATTTTTTTTAGATTAAAATGCTCAATTTTAAAATAAATATTATTTAAGATTCATGTAAACATTCAAATTAGCGAAGAAAAATAAATTTTGAAAATCTGCAGGCATAGGGAGAGGGTATATTTATAACGAAAAGTTGGAAGTGACAGGCCATGCTTTTATGATAATATAAGAGAGGAGAGGCCATGCACAGAGCACATCGTTATCCTCTGTGAGAAGTATCCGTACTTGTATGGACTATGAACTGCAGCTTATGAATATATTATGAGTTCTGTTTTCTAATTTTTTTTTTCTTTGGGGAATATTTGGTAGGATCGGGGTTTTCACCAGACCACGGACAAGGGTAAAGCATCACTCGTTGACATTGATTCCTGCTGATTGCAGAGAGTTGTGCGCCAGTTAGGGTTCAGAGCTAAAACTGTCGAATCTTAATCAACAAGAACAAGAAGAAAAAGAACGTGTAATGCTATTTCAGATCAGAATAGAGGAGCCATCTGCTTTTGTTTCTGTAGGCGAATTTCTGCGGAACCGTCTATTGAATGCACCATGTACCAATGGGGATTTGAGTTCTAATCAGACGTGATTGTGAAATCCAAACCTTATTGACCGCAATTTCCTTGAATGTAACAAACCAAATATCACCAAGTAAAGCAATAAAGAGATGAATCAAATCTTAGCCTAAGACACTGCTATTTGATCGAGTAACCGCGCACACTTCACATTGTTTGCAAAAGTGAGACTGGAGGATCATCAAAACAAAAGTTCAGTACAATTCAAATTGTTCAACGTTCAATTCTAGTTTAGTTAGCTCTCCTCGTGACTTCCATGCATATGGCAGTTGGAGAACCGTTATCTTCCATGTACGGACACAATGGATTGGGCTGAACTTGCTTTGCAACGACATGCTTTAATGCCGAGTGGTCTGGAACTCAATCGAGTTGTCTCTCCAGATTTTTGGCTAAATAGCTTATAAAGCTGATCTTTCCGCGTTTATTAACATGGATTATACGGAATGAATCATGACCCCTTCCCTTCGTTTAACTAATATATAAGGGCTTTTGAGTTTTGATTTTTGAGTGATTTACGTTTTGTCTCGACTTTTCTTCTTAGCAAAATAAAGCAAAATAAGGTTAATAAACATTTCAAAATGCAGTACTTCTGCAGGCCAAAAAATAAATCGAGACCTCTGTATTACTTGATATTTGAATGATTTATATTACTACTGATCAGAGTTCCATATCACTTGACAAAAACTTGCATTTTGGAGGTTGGCCATCTTCAAATGCCACGACTAACGCCGAATGTTTCATCTTAAGAAATATCATAATAAATTAATAATAATAACCAACAGGATTTGGATTTTACAAAAAAATTAGTTTCTCACAACATAGTAAACAAAAGTTCAAATTCTTACTAAAAAATTAGGTGCTTACATTGAATGTCCGACGGTATTTTGAATATAATTATTTTTTATAAGGTATTTATAAAAATAAAAAAATATTATAATAAAATAAATTCAAAATGTGAGCATGAATATGATGAAAGGATATAATTTGAAATGTTTTTATATATAATATCAAATAACAGTTTAAACAAATATCTGATAATCATTAGTAGGGGGACAACTTTTTCTTTTCTGTACTCGACAACTTATGACCTGTCCAATATATCCATTATTCAATCCAAGTGGCCTGTTGGACAACAGTAGTTGCTTCCAAAGATAATCCCTATTCTATAATAACATGACATGGGTCCTCATTTTTAGACTAGCACGAGAAAAAGCCTTAAAGTGGGGATGGAGAACAGGTTCGGTTAATAAATAATTAGTATCACTTTGATTGGAACTTTTCTTGTTAGAGTAGTTGCGCTAAAGTGAAGAAATGCAATGAAGGAGCCTTGTACGTTATGTCAATTCCATAACGGTAAGCAAGCCTTGCAAAATGTTTGATCAGAATTTTAGGCCTAGCTAGAGCTAATCATCACCCAAGAGTCTGGCATGTCATCAACAACTAACAAGAAGTAGAAGCAACGGGCTAACTAAACTTGAAAGAAGCTTGACAAAAGTATAATAAACTGGTCGCCTAGGCAGAATTGACATGGTTCTAAAAGTCATGCTGCAAATGATTGCAATGGGGGATAAGAACACGAAGTTCTTTGAAGCTTCAACAGTGACCAGACGGAAAAGGGGAAATATTGAAGCTTTGAAAGATGATTCTGGAAATTGGTAGATGGAGATTGGCAGATTGAAACAAATTGCTTGCGATTGTTTTCAAAATCTCTGCTCCAAAGATAATGATGCTATGCTTGATTTTGCAGCTGGCCTGTGAGCTTCCCTCCTCTAAATCATGCAGAATTAGAAGCTAAATATTCAGAAAGAAGTGACGAGAATTGAGATTAAAAACGCTGCTTTCTGCATGGGCGTGGAGTGTTTTAATAAACCCTTTATATCTGCAAGCTTTTTTCTGTGTGTCTTACAGGTTTGGTTGAAATGGAACTCACAACAGAATCCTGGAGGCAGGAAGGGCAACAATAATGATCTTGGATAAAGGTTTTTGGACGCCACTTGGCTTGCTGGCTTCTTTGGAAGAATAAGTGCAAAAGAGCTTTAGAAACCAGATCAGAGCCACGCGAGATTCTTCATCCCTGTCTACACAATATGATGGAAGCTACGGTCAACGGGAAACTCATCCACAAGGCTTTAAACGGTCAGGAAAAAGAAGATCACCATTGGACTCCACCCCCTTCACTTCAGGTTTAAGGTTTTCTCAGATTGGATGTGGATGGCTCGGTTAACAATCAAAGACAATCAGCATGCATGTGGTGGAGTTAGATTTCAAAATAGCTCAGGACAACATATACCATCAACTGAAGCTAAACTTCATGCACTGGATATTGGATCGAGATTTCGTAAGCCATATGATTTTAAAAAAGTTAAATTTAAAGTTTATACTGATTCTTTAGATCGAGGCATTGCATCTCTGTTGATGAATGATGGAGGTCCCAACCACCTCCAAGGACAGAAGTTAATGACACCAGATCTCTGCCTTCCTCATATTGGGACGTTCAAATTCAGCATTCACACAGCAGGGAAGTTTTTATCAAGTGCGCAGACTACCTTGCAAAAAGAGGCTCACAAATTGGGCAGTGTCATGATTTATGTTTCAGAACCCCTTCAGGATGTTTAGCTAGTTACTTAGCTGATAGACAAAATGTCTTCATAATTTTCAAGCCTTGCACTTGCATTTATATTTAAAATTATTAACAAAATGTAAACTCAAACGAAGCAAAGTGTTTCTTTGTTTTTATTGCTTATACCACCTGTGTTAGGGAAGCAGAAGCAGATCGCAACTGATAAAGGCAGACGAGCGGCCACTCACCTAGTTACTTTGCGGTCTTGCGGATGGACCCTACGGCTACAAACATCGAAGCAGATAAATGGGGGGAAGGGAAGGATGTCTCAGTCTGAATCTTCAATACTTTGGATAAGTATGGCGGTTGTGGCCAAATCAATCACCCTGAGCCACGTTGTCGTTTAAAATGAGCCTTACATACTCACATCACATGTATAGGAATCTGTTTAACCTACTTCTGTCTATTTTGGTAAGATATCACAGTCTTTGATTTGATACCCCAGAAAAAGAGAAGAATGAATTAATTATGAATTTCCATAAATTAACGAGTGGCGGTTATTATAAGCTTCGCTCGCTCAAAAAAGTAGGAGTGGCACGTACGCAAAATATTGCAATAGCAGTAACTTGGCAATATTTCGGCATTTCTTGAACCGGCCTTCCCGATACTCGTCATTATCGACCATGCGATGAGGCTGGAACAAAGGAAATTTTAATTTTTGTGAATGTGGAATTTCACAGAATGGGGGTTGAAATTATTTTGTTTTTTGTTTTTTTCCCTTTGGGTCTCACCACTTGAAACCTTCATCCACAATTGTCTTTGGAGCCTACGGCTTGACCCGTGCGTGGCCAAGAGCCCATGACCTTGACCCCGTCTTTAGAAATTTGGGAAGACGAAGAGCTATTCGTGAATTAATTAACAAGAGAAGGGGTGGCTTGCGAAGGGATTGACGTCCCTATCTTACTTGCCTTACCCCTAACAGCCTCCATAAAAATTAATTAATTGGGTTTTCCTACAGCGACACGAAATTGCCGTTACATTACATATATGACCAACTTCCCTAACACGACGACCCGGGAACTCAAATCCCCCTCTTTATTTATATAGTACCCGAGATGCGAATCGGGCATCCTCTGCCTCCTCCTTCGTCTCTCTTTCGATGAATAAGTAACATGACCACCAAACCCAAGCCTGAGTGTTGTATGTGCGGCGATTGTGGCTTCCCTGAGGAGCTTTTTCAGTGCAAAGTCTGCCAATTCAGATCCCAGCACAGGTATGCCTCGACGATTTCTACGTGTTGTCATTTCTCAACGAGTTCGACTCTCTTTTGCTCACTTGTATCATCGGTTTTTCAGATACTGCAGTAACCTCTACCCGCGAGTGGACGCCTATGAAACTTGCAATTGGTGTTTGGTTCAGAAGGATGACGTCAAAGAAAAGTCGCTCAATTCTTCGAATTCCTCTTCATCCTTCAAAAATAATGGGAGCACGGGTGATGAGAGCAAGAACAAGAGAATCAAGAACAGCAACGTAAATTCTCCCAAGATCGGCGGTAAGAAGGGCGAGGCCCATGCGAAGAACAAAGGCATCCAGAAACGGAAGTCGCCGGAGGCGAGATCACCGTCGCCGCCGTCCTCGGTGCTGATATCGCCCCGGAAGAGGATCGTGACAGATGGCGGTTTAGAGGAAAGGCTGAGGAGAACCAAGTCCGAGGATATATCTAACACGAGCAGGATCATCACGAGGCAGGTCTTCAGGAATAAAGTGAGGAGGTACAAGCTTTTGGATGAAGTTTCTAGTTGAATAGACCAGTTTTTTTTTTTAAAAAAAACAAAATAGATTTTTCTGTAAGAGACGATGAATACATAAAAACAAGGTCATGCGTTTTTGTTTCTTCTGGGTTTTTTCTTGAAACTCCTTGTCCAGGCACAATGTATAGTTTACGGAACCCACGGGCGAACTGAAAGGAGACGACCCATCAATGTAACCTTTTTTGTCTTGACTCATCAGTCATTACTACCAGAAAATAAATGACTGTTTCCATTTCACTTTCGTTGTGGCTGTAATTTAATTTGCAAGGAACTGTAGGATTTAATCCGTCGACTGGATCCTTAAAGAGTGCAGTTTCAAATATGGGAGTGGGATCAAACTGGTGTGATGTGGATATGGATGTGAGTGAGTTTGAGTGGCAGTGATATATGATGCACCGTAAGCTGCAAGGCGGATGGGACTTGAGAGGGATACAGCGTCCTGTGAGTCCATAATTGACGGCCAAGACATTTGTTTCTACGATGACTATCATACGCTACGCGTCTTTATTTGCGTGCCAAATGAGTCCAAAGTCCGAAGGGGAAGGAAGAGAGAGCGATTGGAGAGCCGGGTAGAAATTTCGAGGCAACTTCTTCTGCACTTGCTTTTTAGGTGTGCTTCCAGACTGACAGAGATAGTCAATCACAGGGAGGGGTCAAGGTCAACTGCTGGATCTAGACGTTATAGTCTTATAGATGCCTTTTGTGGTTTTTACGAATTTAGATCGAGCATTGCATTATTTGATTCCTTGGATGATATAGGAAGGCATAGCAGTAATTTTGGAGCTAATTGGGTAAAAAGAGAATGATTCTTTAGAATAAGTTGACTCGGTAAAGTCCATAATAGAAACTTAGGCCAAATCAGAACCATACGAATACATGAACAGCTAACAATTTACTGTGCCCATGGGATGTTATTGCTCCAAGCATCCCTCCAAGCATCCCCTTGTTTCAAGGGGCTTTGCTTTTTGAAAATTAGGTTGATAAAATTCTGGATCAATCAGACCGTTATGCCCTGCTGGAACATATAGAGGAGGGCACAGTAATTAAGAAGGCAATGACATGCTTTATTGATTAAAAAGGGATTGCAAGGTTCCCCATGATTGGAGGAACATGGGAGCAGGGAGGCTGTGCCATTCTCCTCTGGCAACGTTTCGCCAGCGCTGCTCGTGTAACCCTTTTTCCATATAATTTAACAAGTCATTCTCCTAAGGACACAATTTCAACGTTATTTAATGTGATCTTATGATTTAAAAAAATGTCTGATGAGTAAATAAGAAGTACATTAATTTTTATTTATAAAAATAAAGAAAATATTCAGAATTGTACTAACTATAGAGGGATTAAACTCATGAGCCACATAATAAAATTGTGGGAGAAGGTAATTGAACACAGGTTGAGATTGGAGGCAAGTATTTTTGAGAATTAGTTTAGTTTTATGCCAGGTAGATCAACTACAAAAGCGATTTATCTACTAAGAGGATTAATGAAAAAGTATCGTTGTAAAGATAAAGATTTACACATGGTTTTTATTGATTTGAAAAAAACTTATGACTGTATACCAAGAGAAGTGCTTTGGAAAGCGTTGGAAAAAAAGAAAGTACGGATTGCTTATATTAAAGCCATACAAGATATGTATGAAGGGGTAAAAACTAGTATAAGAACGTCTAGTGGTCAAACAAAAGATTTTTCTATAAAGATTGGACTACATCAGGGATCATCTCTGGGTCTTTATCTGTTCAACTTGATCCTAAATATTTTGACGGAACATATTCAAAGGAAAATTCCCAAATGTATGCTCTTCGCGGATGATATAGTTCTTATAGCAGAGATAAGAGAAGAGGTTAATTGCAAACTTGAGTTATGGAGGAGGACATTGGAGTCGAAAGATTTCCGTCTGAGTAGGAGTAAGACGGAATATTTATATTGTAAATTTGGTAAGAGACTATTCGACAATAATTTGAAAGTGAAATTAAGAGATTAAATTATACCTCAAATGGAAAAGTTTAGATATTTGAGAGCCATTATTCAAAATGATGGCGAAATCAGTGGAGATATTTCACATAGGATTCAAGCTGGGTAGTTTAATTGGAGAAAAACTAAAGGAGTTATTTGTGATCGTAAGGTGCCTAATAAACTTAAAGGAAAGTTTTATCACACTGCTATCAGATCGGCAATGTTATATAGTAGTGAATCCTGGGCTCTAACGGGACAACAAGAGCATAAAGTTGGAGTAGCAGATATGAGAATGTTACGATGGATGTGCGGACATACATGTAAAGATAAAATTCGAAATGAGCACGTATGCGAAAAAGTACGGGTAGCACCTATTGAGAAAAAAATGGTAGAAAATCGGTTGAGATGGTTTGGGCATGTACAAAGAAGACCAAGGGAGGCACCAGTGATAAAAGTGGAACATATAACTTTAAGTCCGATTAAGAGGGGTAGAGGAAGGCCTAAGAGAACACTCTTGGAAGTTGTTGAATGCGATCTCTTAATTAATAATATTTTTAAAAGCTTGATAAATGATAGAGTACAATGGCGTCTTGCAGTCCATGTAGCCAACCCCACCTAGTGGGATAAAGGCTTGTTGTTGTCGTTGTTATTCTCTTAAGGACACAACGATGATAACGTTAATTAATGTTTCATTTGTGCTAAATATTCATCTTTTTTTTTTTAGACACTGGCTGATAAATGACAACACCGTAGCCCCTTCAACGATGCTGAAGTTGGTAGATCCAGGAGTGCCAACTTCATTTTTCTCTCATTCCCAACGAAAAACTAAATTTTTGAGCCAGAAACAAGCTAAAAGTCTGTGTTTACAAATATTTACATTGAAAAACTGGCTCCTGAGTCTATAAAAAGCGATCCCTCAACTATAACTCCTTTGGATCTATCTGTAAAATTCAAATGGGGCAGAAATAATAGAATAAACCAGATTCATATTCCTGGTCTAAATAAATATCTAGAGAATATATCGTTGGAAGAAACAACCAAATCTAATCATGCATGCGAGTTTATACCAAGAAGTTTGGAGCTAAATATATTTAGTTTTACTTGTTAACTTGTCTTGTATTTGTAGTGAGATAAATCTAGCTATATTTTTTTATATTAGAATTCATTTGAAGTTGTGACTGATTACTATAATTTTAGGTAGGGGTAGTAATTCTAGTTAAGTTCAATGAGTCGACCGAATAAATTTAAAAAATTTTATGATTAGACTTGGGAGGTTAGAATATTTGTTTTCAACTCTAGACTTATTTAGATTGTCCAAACAAAATTGAAGAAATATATAAGCCAAGTCAAAGCCAAAAAGACTTAGCCTGAATACTTGAATGTTTTATTAATAAAATAAGATAAAAATTTAAAAAATGTTAATTTTTAAAATAAAATTGAAATTAGATAAAAAATCAAAAATACAATAAAATAATATTTAAATATTTTAGTATTTAAGCCATCCCAAATAAACTTAAAAATTCAAGGGGTTAGAGTTGGGTTTAATTATATGAGTTTTTTTAATGTTTGGATATGTTAAGTCAAATTCAAATTGGCCTAGCTAAAACAAATCTGACCTGCCTGAATTATCAGTAAAGTAACATCACTCAATGAAATCATGGCAATTATTATACATGGTATTCATATAATTATACAAATTAACGCATCACATGCTTGCAATAAGACATGATTGATCAAAGCTCATCAGTGGCTGGATTATTTTACTTGTTTTTGTTTTCTATAAAACAATAAGGTAAGGCCACTTCGTTTTGATAAAATACCCACACCAAAGTTCTATAATTTTGGGTCTGCTATCTCAGTCACAATTTTCTTGCCTTATAGGAAAAGGTCCTCCCTTTTTTGGTTAATTGTGAGTAAGGAGGGACTCAAGCTCTCGACACCATGGTTCATTGCCACATGTTCTAATCCTCTAAGCTATAACCCCCTATCTGCACTATATCTATATATTCCCCATAGTACCCTGTACGAGCGAAAACTTTCCTCCTCCTAACCATTTTGACTTGAGAATGCGTGAAAACGTCACTCTCTTTATAAGAATGGTGTGTCTCAAGGTGTGAAGTAGAAAAGAAAGGATTTCATAACTAGGATTTTGAATAAGACAACCTTTTCATTTTTTATTTTTGAAAAAATAATAAGAATGAAAGGTGTTATGCTTTCTATCATCCTGGTTTCTGTAAGACCTTCCATATAGTATCATCTCTGTAGTAGAGTTTAACTATCAAGTTTGAGATATATTGGTATAGTTTCTCTATGCCTTGAACATCAGAATATTAAATTAAAGTATGAATGAAAAAAAAGTATGAAATAAAAGCATATTGACTATTGATTGTAAGGCCCTAATTCTTAATTGGAAGGGACACCAAAGGCCCCTGCCCTTCCATCTTTGGATAGACAGACTTCATCTTAGCCTTGAAAGTTTAGAGGTGCATTTTAAAAATGCTGGCATTAATGTGTTATTATTCTTGTATTATCCAGGATATTTTACCACAATGTGGAGAGTGTAATTTTAGTAGCATTAGTTTTTGTTTTTGTAAGTGTGAGTTTTCTTTCTTTGTGTTTTTTTTTAAATCTACGTAGTTAATGTTGTTACCATCCATGTCGTAACTATTCTCCTAAAATAATTTATCGAATTGTGCGCGCCATTCCTCTATTGGAACCATGCTAATCCTAAAACGATTTTATTTGGAGTGAGGAAGAAGATACCTACAAATAAAGTGAAGTCATCGTAGACTATAGCGACCCAAGTCATTATAAACTATACCTATAAAGTGAAATTATTTGTAATTTATTCAATTAAAATATTTTAAATAATATAAATAGAACTTTATGTAATGTGGCACACCCAATCTATATAAATACTTATTGTTATTATAGATTATAGCGACCCATGTTACCGCACACCATGCAGATTGCGATAGGCTGGATAAGGATTCCTGTTTTCAGCGTTCAGATCCAGAGAGATGACATGAGGCTGAAGAAAGCCTGGTCCATTTTAACATAAAGGGCTGGGTTGCGTGTAAGTGGGAAGCCCAATAAGATCACCGTGGTTTTCCCAATACTTTGCGTTTTGAAATATTTGGGCTTAGGCCCTAGCTATGTTTGACAATTTGGACGACATTGATCCACAGGTCAATAGCCGCGACGAGAGGTTTTCTAAATTCAAACTCTTCTTCCGCTTATTATTCATCATCAGACTATAAAAATTGAAAACAGCACCTCATAATTCAAGAAGTCTTTTTTAAAAAAAAAATTATCTCTAAATATAAGGGGTTGTTGGCATTTTTTTAATGAATGGATCATCATATCCTTATTAAATTGAAAAGAGAAAAAAATACTCTCATTCATTTACTTAAAAAAAAAGATTCATTTTTTTATTTAAAATAATTCGGAGAAAAATTAAAATGCTATTGTGTTTTTAATTTAAATAACTAACTTTTATTAATTTACGTGATTCAATTAAAAATATTTTTTATATAGGGATGGAGAGAGTTCTTTCTCCAACTATCCTATACTCCCTCTTGACTACAATTCAATTTTAGAAATTTTGATTGATTTAAAATTTAGAGTATTAAATAATTTTTATATTTATTTTTTTAATTATGCCTCCATTTCATTTATTACTTTTTCTAAAAAAAATCATGCATTTAAATTTTAGTTAATATTATCAAGATTCTTGTACAGAGTATTTAATGAAGATATAAATATTTTTAAAAATTTAAAATTTTAACTAATATTATTCATAAATTATAAATTAATTAACTATGATTTATATT